CCTTCTATCCTCCTTGGTCATTGTCCCAAGGACTAGCCCCTCATAATAACATGCCTAAAGTATGTGAGATAACATTTCACCATCCTTTTTTCTAAGGAGCTCCCTGCTTGCATTTTCTCCATGACATATTTGTGTTTTTTGACAGTCCATGGGATATTCAGTACTCTCCTCCAACACCACCACTCAAAGATATTGATTCTTTTGTAATCTTTAGTCATTGTCCAACTTTCAGAAACAGAGCAAGTAATTGAAAAGACTGTGGCTTGGATCAGGTGCACCTTAATCTTTAAACTGATGTTGTTGCTCTTAGGATAACTTCATAATATACAGAGAAAAGATTGACAGTATCAAGGACTTAATTTTCCTTGGATCCATAATCAATACTGATAAAAGCAGCAGTTGAGAAAACAAATGGCATATTGCATCGGTCACATCTGTTGTGAAAGATCATAAAGGGTTAAAGAGCAAGGATGCCACCTAAAGAGCTAGGGTGCACCTGACCCAAGCTGTTGTAGTTTTAATTGCCTTGTATACATGCAAAAACTGCATGAAAATTAGGGAAGATTGGAGAGGAATCGATGTATTTGAATTGTGGCACTGCACAGGGAAAATCTGCAGTTTTATTAAGGAGTAATGATGTCCGTCTGAGGACTAAGGTGAGTCTGATTCAGGCCATAGTCTTTCCAGTTACTTGCTATGCATCTGAGAGCTGGACAATGAATAAAGATGACAGGAAAATAATTGACGCCTTTGAGCTGTGGTGTTGGAGAAGAGCACTGAACATCCCATGGACGGCCAAGAGAACGAACAGATATATTTTGGAGAGGATGCAACTGGAGTGCTCTTTGGAGGCAAGAATGATGAGGCTTCACCTCACATTCTTTGAGTATGTTGCTAGGAGGGACTAGTCCTTGCAGAAGGACATGATCGTGGGAAGGGTGGAGGAGTCCACAAAGAAGAAGAAGAAGGCCTTGGACCAGGTAGGTTGATGTGGTGACTGCTGCAATGGGTTCTTGTGTGTCAGGAAGTATAAGAATGGTGTGGGATAGAAGAGGGGTCAGATCTTTTGTTCGTAGGGTTGCTATGGGTCGTACTTGATTCCATGGCACCAAACAACAACATCATTGGTGAAATATATTGAAAATACATCACAGTCTACCAAAAGAATGAGCAGATCTAAGACAAAGTACAATCACAGTGCTCCTTAGACATGAAGAGGGCTTTGTCTCACTTTTTGGCCTGTTGTTCGGAGGACCTTTAAGGAGATTGTTTGACACAGCAGCTCCAAGAATGAACCCAGAGGTAGTAGTGATTATAGAGTGGTGCTGGACTGAGAAGTGATTTGTTTTGCTGTACATGGGACGGAACTGACTCAATGGGACCTGACCACTGACCTAAACAATGACAGTTTGAATCTATCCTATGGTGATGCTTAGAACACCCTGGTGATTTATTTCCATAGAGCGCACAGCCAATCAAGTTGCATAAAGCAGTCCCACTGTGTAACAACGGGGTCGACATAAGCTGTAATCAGCTTATTAACAGTAGTTTGGTATCACGACAGTGATGCAGAATGAGCCAACGTTCTCATCTCTTGTTCACGAGTTGTAGTCAACTCTACAGCACTTAATAACACCAATGGTCACTGGTGTGCAGAGAACCCTGCTGGAGGATTGGCAGTTCATGGGAAACACAGCAACTTTTCAGTGGGGGAAGATGTGGCCTCTGCTCCTGTCCAACGTCAGAACCTCCGAGGGGCAGTTCTACTCTGTCCAAGGTCACCAAGGATTGGCATCCCCTGGAGAACGCTTCTCATGATTTTGCCTGCAGGTTACCGAATTGGCCTCTAGGTGGCAATCTGGCTACCTTGTCCATAATTCCCCACCACATGAGTGCATGGAGCACATCTGCCCCAAAGAATCTCATCAATGTATTAAAAAGCAAAGATTTTACTTTCAGGAGTGAACTGAGATTTAACCAAGGTATTATCAATCACATGGACTGAGGCTCAATGTCAAGAAGACAAAGAGTCTCACCACTGGACCAGTCGGCAGCATCAGGATGCATGGCGAAGAGATTGAGATTGTTCAACAGCTTCAGTTTGCTCGGCTCCATGGTCAACACTCTTGGCACCAGCAGCCAGGAAATCAAAAAACGTATTGTGATGGGAAAGTCTGCTGTTAGGGACCTCTCTAAAGTACTCAAGAGCAACGGTGTGTCTCTAGAGACTAAGGTGCATCTGATACAGGCCATGGTCTTTGCAATCACTTGTTATGCATCAGAGAGTTGGACAATGACTAGGGAGGATAGAAGGAGAATTGACGCCTTTGAGCTGTGGTGCTGAAGAAGAGTATTGAATGTACCATGGACTGCCAAGAAAACAAACAGATTCATCCTGGAGAGGGTTAAACCAGGCTACTCCTTGGAGGCAAGGATTCTGAGGCTTCGTCTGACATACTTTGGACATGTTGTAAGGTGGGACCGGTCCTTGGAGAGGGACATCATGCTTGGGAGGGTGGAGGGACAGTGCAGGAGGGGAAGACCCTCTATGAGGTGGATTGATTCAGTGACTGGGATAATAGGGATGGGTGTGTCAGAGGCAATGCAATTGGCACAGGGTAGAGCAGGGTTTAGGGCTGTTGTACATAGGGTCGCTATGAGTCACAAACGACTCAACGGCACATAACAACAACAACATTATCAATCACTTCACAGGCATGTGACAGCAGAACTAAGAATAAAGAAGCCCAAAGAATAGTTTATACCTTTGAATTATTATGTTACTGAAGAATATGGAATACAGCAAGGACTGTCAAAAGAAAGGTAGAACTTGTTTTGGAAGAAGTGCCTCCAGAATGTTCCTTAAAAGCGAGGATGACAAGACCTCTTCTCACATACTTGGGCATGTTATCAAGAGCAACAGTCCCTGGAGAAAGACACCATACTGGGCACGATGGAAGGCCGATGAAAAAGATCTTCATTGAGGAGGATTGCCTCAGTGGCTGGAGCTGCAACTAGTAGGTTCAAACACAGCAGCTGTTCTGAGGATGTTTCCAGACTGGGCAATGTTTTGTTCTTTGGTGCGAAGGATTCCTGTGTTGCAAAGGATGCCTATGAGTTGGAAAAGACTTGAGGAGGAGAGGGGGAAATATGTATAATAGAACATAATTTATATGTTGTTGTGTATTGTTGAGTTAGAACTGACCCATAGCTGACCTTCCAGCGGGTTTTCAGAAGCTGTTAATATCACAGGAGGAGATTTTCCATCCTTCTAAAATGCCGTCGAGTCATAGATGACTCATAGAGACCCTATGAACGAAAGTCCTCGATATTTGGCGTGACTTTCATCCTTTTCCCAAGTTCATAGGGTTTCCAGAGGCAAGCTATTTACGGAAGTGGATGCCACTCCTGCTCCCAAGCTTGTTTTAATCAGCGAGCTCCACCAAACACTGTCCACCATGGGTAACTGTTCTTGCATTTGACATGTCAGTGTTACAGTGTTTAGCATCACAGCAACCACGAGTTACCTCTGTATGGCAAGTGGACACACCAGGGCTATAGGACCTAGAAGAATGTTTATCCAAACACAATTAAAACAGGTCTGAGGGCCGTGGATTAGAGTCACCCACCTTTGGCTTGGTAGCATCCCTTTCATCACTTTCTGTCCATCCACTAGGCCAACTGGTCTTCTCTCTATGTTGTTAGGTGCCGTCGAGTCTTAGACAATTCATAGCGAAAATATTATAAAATAGCCATTGAGTTGAAACATCTCATAATTAACCCTCCAGTGAGTTTCTGAGACTATAAATTGTGTGGTGGGAGATTATCCATCTTTCTTCCAAGCAGTGACTGGTGGATTTGAACCATCTGAGAGGAGCAAAATTTGGGTTAGTGATACAACTCCCTGGGAACTAGCCCACCAGCTATGCATGCACTAGATGAGTCTGTAAACAAACAGTTGGAGACTATGGCGTAGTCACACTGCCCTTAAGATGAACCATCACACCCGTCCTCCTTCCCAAGTACCTGACGCACAGCAGACGGGCCACAGGCCACGCTAGTCTGTTGACTCTGCTGTTTCCTTTCAGGCTTCTGGACAGCAGGAGGCAAATGCAACCTGGCTGGTGATGGAGTTTGTGTTGGTGGGATTCTCCAACCTCCCAGACCTGAGGACCACACTCTTCGCCTTGTTCTTCCTCACGTACATGGTCACCCTCAGTGGCAATGTCACCATCATCACCATCATCCATGTGGACCGTACCCTCCACACACCCATGTACCGCTTCCTGGCAGTGCTGTCCCTCTCTGAGACCTGCTACACCCTGGTCACCATCCCCAACATGCTAGCCCACCTGCTGCTGGAGAGTCAGGCCATCTCCATCGCTGGCTGCCAGGCTCAGATGTTCTTCTTCCTGGGCTTGGGGTGCAGTAACTGCTTCCTCCTGACCTTGATGGGTTATGACCGGTATGTGGCCATCTGTCACCCCCTCCGCTACTCAGTGATCATGAGACCCACCATATGCCTCAGCTTAGGAGCCGCGATCTTCTGCTCCGGCTTCTCCGTGGCCTTGATCGAGACCAGCATGATCTTCTCCTCTCCTTTCTGCCACAGCAACCGCGTGGAGCACTTCTTCTGCGACATCGCCCCAGTCCTGAAGCTCAGCTGCACTGAAAGCGCCAGCAAAGCCCTGACCATCTTCTTCCTAAGCATCCTGGTGGTGCTCGTCTCCTTCCTCCTCATCCTCCTCTCCTACACCTTCATCGTGGCCGCCATCGTGAGGATCCCCTCGGCCGCTGGCCGGCACAAGGCCTTCTCCACCTGTGCTGCCCACCTCACCGTGGTCATCGTGCACTTCGGCTGTGCCTCCATCATCTACCTTCGGCCTGACTCGGGGGCAAACCCTGACCAGGACCGCCTGATTGCCGTCTTCTACACGGTGGTGACGCCGCTGCTGAACCCCGTGGTGTACACGCTGCGGAATAAGGAGGTGAGGGTGGCTCTGAGGCGGACCCTGGCGCGTGGCTGTGGGTCTCAGAGTTTTTAAATAAGAATTGGTCTCACTTTCTCCTGTAAGTTTTTATTAATGTGTGCCCCTCCAAAGATTGCTTTTCTATCAGGGAAATAAAACAACAACAAACAGAAAACCACCCCACAAACGCAGCTAAAACCACTGAGGACAAGCTGGCTCCAATTCATGGTGACCCACCAGTGAGTTTCCAAGGCTGTAAATCTTATGAGGAGGATACAACTTCACCTTTCTTCTGTGGAGTGGCTGGTGGGTTAGAACTTCTGACTTTTCTGTCATCAGCTCAACATTTAAACTTCTATAATACCAGGGCTTCTTTATTTGAGAAATACTGAAAACCCAACTCATTGTCATTGAATTCCAACTGACTCATCTCTATCCCTCCCCTGGGTTTCTGAGGTGTAAATTGTGTGGGAGTGTGTGTGTGTGTGTGTGTGTGTGTGTGTGTGTGTGTGTGTGGCATTACCCATGATTCCCCTGAGAAGCTATTGGTGGATTTGAACTGTCAGAGAGGTGTTTCTTTTGTGTTAACAATGCAACTCCTTGTAGTCTATGCTACGAGAGCACACATCATCTGAGAAATAGAGGCTGGCAGGTCTCTTCAATGTATTGTTCCAACCATTTTTACATTATTTCCCACCAATATTTTATTTATGTGTGATATAAATTATATTGTCCCACAATTTCCACATTCTACTGAAAAGGGCACAGATATAAATCACTTCTGGTTGATTGGCCAAGCAGCTCTCTTCCTGCTTGTAAGTGAGAATCCCATGTGCTGCATCTGCCTGTTGAAACATTTCAATTGGTTTTCTGCCAAGAAATCAAACATCACATTGCATTGGGAAGTCTGCTACAAAGGATCTCTTTAAAGTGCAAAAGTAATAAGGATGTTACCTTAAGAGGTCACTGACCCAACCCACTGGCATTTTCAATTACCTCATTGACATGTTTCAAGTCCTCCTCACTTTCAACAAGCAAGGGTGTGTTATCTGCATAATGAAAGTTACTGATAAGTCTCCAATCCTGATACTACATTCTTCTTCATAGAATTCGGTTTTTGAATATTTGTCCATCCCGCAAGCTGAACAGTTATGGTGAAAGGATACAACCCTGACACACCACTTTCTTAATTAGTAACACACTATGTAGTGTTTCCTTGCTCTGTTTGCACACCAGCTTTTTGTAGGTCTAGGTTTCACCTGAACATAATCAAGTGTTCCGGGATTCCCATTCTTCTCAATATTAGCCATAATTTGTTATGATCCACACAGTCAAGTGCCTTTGCCTAGTCAATAGAAGATTAAACACTGCAGTCGTCAATGGAGATTGAATGCCAACGTCAAGAAAACAAAAATTGTCACCACAAGATCAATAGATGACATAATAATAGAGGGAGAAAAGATTAAAACAGTGAATGACTTCCTATTGCTTGAATCTATAATCATAACTTGGTACCAGCAGTCAGGAGATCAGGAGATGTATTCCTCTGGGAAAGTCTGCAGTTAAGGACCTCTCCAAATTATTGAGGAACAATGATGTTAGTTTGAGAACCAAGGTGTGCCTAATTCAGACCAAGATTTTTTCAATCACTTGCTATGCTTCTGACAGCTGCACAATGAATAGGGATGACAGAAGATAAATCAATAACTTTGAAATGTGGTGTTAGAGAAGAGTTCTAAATATCCCATTGACTGAACCCCCCCCAAAAAAAAACCACCAAAGTACAACAAAACCCCAAAACAAATGTATCTTGGAGAAGGTGAACCCAGAGCGCTCCTTGGAGGCAAAGATGATGGTGCTTCATCTCACATACTTTGGGCATGCTGCTAAGAGACGCTATT